CACCATAAAGTAAACGTGTCTCTTAATATTCTCACTTAGGAATAATGACTACTAGTTGTTCATAATTTATGGAAAGTTACTATGTATCAATAGAAGGAATGTAAGTAGATTAGTGATACTTTCTTTAAAGGTTGGCATCAGATTAAATATTCTTTTTATGTATTCCTTATAACATAAAACAGAAGTTAATACTTAAATGTTATTCAAAGATTCTTAAAGACTTTTCTTAGTAATCCTATTTAATAAAAGGGTAATATGCAAATCAACTGTCACTTCATCACAAAGATGGTGGTGCCCATAGACATAAGATGGCGGCGTCCAGTCCTCTCAGCCCTGCTGGAGTCCCCTAGTCCTGGAGTGGGGGCAGCTGCAGAGAGCAGGCAGCATGAGCAGCCTGGCAGAATGTTTGCTTCGTCACCATGACGATGAGGCAAGTGTTCCTTGCCCAGCCACTGATGGGCCTCTGGGCCAAGGAGAGCCTCTGGGCAGTGAGCGCCGAGCAGCCAGGCCCCACAGAGAGCCACTGGTGCATGGATTTGTGTGCAGGGCTACTAGTTTAAAAATATTTAGGTTTGGGAACAGAGACTTTTTTTAAAAAAAAAATCATAACAAAAGCAGTAATGCTTTATTTGAATAAGATTACACATGTGTAAAATAGACTATGTTAAAAGAATAAAACCATGCTATAAGGGGGGAAAAAAGTTTAGTAAGGTAGTAACTTGAAGTATAAATCCTAACACACTGACCTAATTAGGAAGCAAAGAGGTGCCCTGTGCTCAGGACTCCAGCTCTCTGATTGGTGCCCACATTCACCACGCAGACATGCATTCCTCAGGTGCACACTGAGGGTCTCTGGGCCACAGGCTATGACACAAGCACTGAAGATTCAGGGGTAAACAAAGCAGAGCCAGACCAGGGTTTTCTCTGCATCCCACTTTTCTGAAATTTCATGATTATACTGTACTAGGAAAAACATTTGGAATAAATATTTTCTCATTCACTATTTTAGAATTTGGCTGGCTTTTTATTTTACTTGTATCCACATGTTCTCAAGCTCTGGACCCTTACTTTTATTATTCCCAGGTAATTATATCTCTTGATATTCCCTATCCCCCCCCCCCGCACCCTCCCCCCATCCTGCCACACACACACACTCTCTCTTTTTGGAGCTCATTGATTAGGAAATTAATTGCTTGAATTGATTATGCAATATTAGATTTTTTTTCCCTTAAGTTTCCATTTTTTTTTTTTTTGTGGCGTTGGGGAGGAGGTTTTTACTAAATTCCTCCATAGAAAGTTTTTTTAAACATTTATTTAAAATTTTAAAATTCATATGTTTAATTCAAGAATGTTTTGTTTGTTTCACTATTCCCTCTATAACATCTTGGCATTGTTTTACTGGTGCATTTTCTTTTTGCATTTAAAAAATATTGAATTCATAATTATTTTTTAAATTTTAAAAATAATATTTAGCTCTAACCATTTGGCCCAGTGAATAGAGCGTCAGCCTGTGGACTGAAGGGTCCCAGGTTTGATTCCAGTCAAGGGCATGTATCTTGGTTGTGGGCACATCCCCAGTAGGAAGTGTGCAAGAGGCAGCTGAATCGATGTTTCTCTCTTATCGATGTTTCTAAACTCTCTATTCCTCTCCTTTCCTCTGTAAAAGATCAATAAAATACATTAAAAAATAAAATGTATTGGAATTTTTAATTTCTTTTCTTACTTAGTATTATATATTTTTTCTTTATTGATTAAGGTATTACATATGTGTCTTTATCCTCCCATTTCCTCCCCACCCCCTCCCACTCATGACCTCACCCCCCTGGTGTCTGTGTCCATTGAACAGAGACTTTTCTAAAGCAGGCAAGGGATCCGTGGGACTATTTGGAGTTTTGGGCATAGAGTTTAAGTGTTAGGCTAGCTGCTAAGTGGGCACAAAGCTTGCCCCTTGTTCATGCAAGTTATGGTGATTGCTATACAATTTTAAGTTAACAAGTTTTGAACAATCACTAATTTCACCAATGAAAAATTATTTCTAATATACCTTATAATTATTAATTGAACATTCTGGTAAAAATTTTAATAAAGGTATCTGATGCTGTTTACCAGCCATATCTGGAGTGTTTGTTCCTGACCAGTACAATTCAAATATTAATTAATCACTCTTAATGAAATATTAAAGTGTAGATACATTTATCACAGTATTTATACTGAAGTTTTAAAAAGTTAATTCCTACCGAAACTGGTTTGGCTCAGTGGATAGAGCGTCGGCCAATCGGACTGGAAGGTCCCAGGTTCGATTCCAGTCAAGGGCATGTACCTTGGTTGAGGGCACATCCCCAATAGGGGGTATGCAAGAGGTAGCTGATCGATGATTCTCATCATTGATGTTTCTATCCCTCTATCCTCCCTTTCTCTCTCTGAAATAAATAAATCATATATATATAATTTATTTATTTCAGAGAGAGAAATAAATATATATATGAAAAAAGTTATTTAAAAAATGTATTTTATTGATTTTTTACAGAGAAGAAGGGAGAGGGATAGAGAGCTAGAAACGTCAATGAGAGAGAAACATCGACCAGCTGCCTCTTCCACACCCCCTACTGGGGATGTGTCTGCAACCAATGTACATGCCCTTGACTGGAATCGAACCTGGGACTTTTCAGTCCGCAGACCAACGCTCTACCACTGAGCCAAACCGGTTTCGGTGAAAAAAAGTTAATTCTTGTGCTTGGGTATGAGTTGAAAATGTATATTCATACAAAAACATTTACAGCAGTTTTATTTATAATTGCCAAAAATTGGAAACAACTAAGATATTTTTCAGTAGGTGAATAGTTAAATTAACTGTTATATCCATAGAGTGATATATGCACTAAAAAGAACCACATAAGCACTAAAAAGAAATAAACTACCAAATTATGAAAAGACACAGAGGAATCTTAAATGCATGTTACCAAGTGAAGGAGGCCAACCTGAGAAAGCTATATACTGTCTGATTGTATAATAACTGTATGACATTCTGGAAAAGGAGAATGGAGACCGTGAGAGGAAGCATGGTTGTCAGGGTTTGGGGGAAGGAGGGATAAGTAGGCAGCATATAGGATTTTTAAGGAAGCGAAATTATTCTGAATGACAGTATAATGGTATCTACATGTCATTATATCTTTTTTCCAAATACATATACAATATAACACCATAACATATCAATAACTCTAATGTCACCTGTGGGCTTTGGGTGATAATAACATGCTCTCCCGGTACAATGTTGGTTTTCTTGGAGAAAGAAGTAACATAATAGAGGAATATTGGGAAAGCAGGAAAAATGAGTAAGACATAGTGTTAGCCCTTAAATTAGGGGTGTCGAACTCAATCAGAGAAGGGGCCAAAATCTAAAATCCAGCCTAAATTGCGGGCCGAATGGTTTACTGAACAGTCATAAACTGTCATTGTGATGGAAATGCAGCGGAGTGCAGTGATGACAGCGCGGTGCGGGCCTCATTGCAAGGCCTGGCGGGACGGATTTGGCCCGCGGGCCTTGTGTTTGACACATGTGCCTTAAATAAACTGAAGCCTAATACAGGGGACCCAGATCGGCTGGTGGGACAGGACAGGAGTGGGTGTGAATGTGAACACAAAAGAGCCAATTTTCTTCCAGTGGGAGAAGTGGGCTGCTTCCAGATGGACCAAGCAGCACCTGAGGACATTTGAAGGAGAAATAAATACACTGCAAGGGCAGCCACTACAAAGGGTGTGTGTGTGTGTGTGTGGCAGGGACATGCTTGTAGCCTCGTTTTTTATATCTCTAGCTCCTGAGATTTCTCACAATCATGGGTGAGGGACAGAGAAAGTCAGTGGGGGAGGAGAGGGGGCACCTGCAATACTTTCAACAATAAAGATAAATAATAAAAAGAGAATAGATAAGAAGAGTAGAAAAGACAACACTGTCTGTCTGTCTGCAGCTTTGGGTTTTGACTATTATGTCAGAGTGTGTTAAAAATCCTCATGCTTATTTTTGTGTTTAAATAATGAAATTGCAGTGAAACAAGCTTCAGTACCACCTTTCATTTGTAAACTTGAATATCACCATTATGTTTAAGTAACGTTTCCATGTGAACGGTGAAAGTATTTCTTGAGACTTGTTAATAAGTAAACCATTTATATTTGAATTAAGAAGTACCTCAGCATGTTATCTCTGGCTATGAACATTTGAAGAGATTATAAATTAAATCAAAGGATAGTTTACTGCTAATTCCCAGCCTAATATGCTTTCTTTCTCTTTCTTTTCAAGTGCACACAAATTGGAAAGTACAGCTTGTATGGCTCAGTAGCCAAATCTCTGGGATTATTTTGGAGCAAAACAAGTATTTACTCTGCACCGTGTGGTTGTGGAAGGTTAACTAATGTCGTGTTGTCCTCTGGGGTGAAGTGTCTTACTTCCTGCTCAAAACGTGCCAGTGTTTCACTATTGTTCCCTCTGTAACATCTTAGCATTGTTTTATTGGTGCATTTTCTTTAGATATTCACAAAAATTTCCTGAAAATACTTGTGCTATGGATGTGGTTTTTAAAGTTAAAAGTCCTTGATGAGTAATAGTACTCCAGTAGTAAGTAAACAGCAAATCACTTACCTGTGAAAAGTGAAAAGACTCAATGCTAGTAGTGTTTTTTAAGAGATCAGAAGCCAGCTCTTGGGGCAGCACCACCTTTTCTGGACACTTCAGCAGACACGGGTCCCTTGCTAAAGGGGCAGGAAGCCCTTATTCTCTGTTTTTAGTAACGATGGGTGGAAATTGGATGGTATCAGGAGGTTTAGCTTGACCTGTGAATTCCGGTTTTTCAGAACACTGTGATTCTCATAGCTGCTTTCTCTGCCCCCCATTCCTATGCAAACAGAAGCGCCTGAGTGGAATAGCAAACTATTTCCTTGAGGGACTAAGCTCCCTGTCTTTGAGAAACACAGTTTTCTGACCCAAAAATTCACTCCCCCCCCCCCCCCAATAGCTGTTTTACTGTCAATTGGAACTTCATTTCTACTGCTTACAGGGAGAATGAACATGTTTTACTAAATGACTTGAAATTTCAGCTGATGTTTCAAGTGAGTAAGCATCTGTTCTTTAATATTGCCCCCTTAAATGTGAGACTCAAATCTCTACATTACATGGTTGTACATCCAGTTTAACATAAGAAACCATTGATAAGAATACATTTAACGAGGCTGTGATTTCCATGTTACTGCAACAAGCAAAGTGTCACATCTTTACCAGTTACAAGAAAGAGACATGGATAAGCTTTTAATAAGAACTTTTTTTTTTCTTTTCAGTAAATCCACAGTGTCTACGACCTATAATATGGGTTAACATTGCACAGCCAAAGGTGTTTTCATGCAAACATTACACAGCCAAAGAGCAACATGACATTAAAAATATACAGAGACTGAGCCTTTTTTGCATACCCCAAATCATACAACTTGAATTTATTTATACAATAGATATTCTCAACCAATACCCTCCACAGAAGAAGCTGTCACGGAAGCACCCTGCTCAGGTTCCATAAGAATGAAAAATTCTCCTGTGCATATTTTCAGCATCTCCTCTGCCCCACATTTAATATCTGCTGGACAAGTCACAAAGACTTTCCAGAGGGTAGCAGCAGATGATCTCTCTGAAGGTTTTCCTCAGCTCTTGGCTCCGGAGTGCATAAATGAGAGGGTCAATGATGGAGTTACACATGATCAGGATGAGGTACAAGTTAAAGTGAGACATGAAGCACACACAGTATGGGTTCTGGGGACAGGAGATGTAGAATATCAAGTGGAGGAAGAAGGGCGCCCAGCAGACCACAAAGACCCCGATCAGGATGGTTAAGGTGATCGCCCCCTTCATGTTGGCACCTTGGCGGATGGCGCCCGTGCCCGGGAGGACGGCAATCCTCTTCATGTGAAGCCTGGCCATGAGGAACATGTGGACATAGAGGGAGGCCATGAGGGCCAGCATGGTGAGGAACACGCTGATGAGGCAGATGATGACCACGCTGCTGTCTGAGTAAATGATGAACAGGACGCCCGCCACCGTGCAGGCTGCCCAGATGCAGCTCAGGGTGACCCCAACCCGCCTCACCGTCATGATGTTATGGTACTGGAGAGCATAAAAGATAGTAAAGTACCTGTCCACTGCGATGGCGAGCAGGCTGCAGATGGACGCGAGCAGGGAGCTACAGATGACAGAGTCGATGACGTTGTCGATGTTCACGGTGAAGCTCTGCGCGTCCGTGTCCGTGCTGTTCAGCAGGGTGATGACGATGGTTTCCGATCCGTTGGAGACGCTCACCAGCATGTCGGCCACGGCCAGGCTGCAGATGAAAAAGTACATGGGGGAATGCAGGTTCTTGTTCTTGGCTATTGCCACGATCACCAGGATATTCTCCAACAAGCTGATGACACCCAGCGTCACAAACACCTCAGGGGAGACGAAAAGTTGCTCGTAGCAGCCTCCATCCGAGTAGCCCTTTCCCAGGGGCTCGCTGGCGTTGGTGCTGTGCAGCCTGTAGGTGCTGAGGTTCCGGAAGTGGAGAGAAGTGTGCATTCTGTGGTGGTGTGTGGCATTCATCCTGGGTCGGTGGGTTCAGATCTCCTCTGAACGGCTTTCAGCTCCTGGGGCCAGGGGGCCTCCGGGATTTTCTCCAGGTCTTTTCCTGTCCCTTTATGAGGCTGAAAGTGGCATGCCTGTTGTGAAAAACTGTCACATGCTCCACAGCTTGAAATGCAAAGTTTTAGTCTCTTTCAGGTACTGCTCTCATCCCAGTCCCTTTAAAATCTTTGGCTTCAAAATGCTTAGTCTCAGTCAAAAGAGCCTGCTGTTTGCTATTTTTATTTTATTTTTGGTTCTCACTTTCAGTTTAACTATAGTCTTAGGCATGCAGGTCTTTTCAAAATGATTTTCCTAGGAGCTGCCGTGCCATTGGGAGACGGTGTGTGTGCACATGCCCACATCAGCTGCGTCTCAGAAGCTCCCACCAGCATTGCTCTGAATGTTAGTAGCTGCTGCTGATTTTATGTGTGTGGAGGGAAAAAAAAATGTGCAGAGTGGCTCCTCCTCTGCTTCTGTTTGACCAATCCAAATCCCGTGGAAGACAGATGCCGATGATGTTCAGGGATACAAACTGCAGGCAGCTCTGAGTCAGATGCAGAAGCTGTGGGATCGGGAAGCCGGCAGGATGTGAAATAATTAATTTTCCTTTTCAAGTTTCAAGGAAAACAACTTGGTCCCTAGAGGACAGTCTTTGATATCAGAACAAGCCATTTTGAGGCACCCAGGTTTATTACTGCTTAAAACAGAGAGAGACGTGTGTGTGAGTGTGTGTGTGTGTGTGTGTGTGTGTGTGTGTGTGTGTTTCTGAAATAGATACACTGCTTTTTGGCCAGGATATCGAATCTATTTTCCCTCTAAATTTCTTTGAATTAGGAACTCAGGCAGTAACGCTTCTTTTTAAAATGCCAGAGACACAGAATATTTGAGAATATAGGAGACTTTGCTATGGGTGGAAGAACTGTATAGGTAGTTACAATTTATCAAAGGTTCAAAAGGGGGTTATTTCTTGGGCACTAATATCTGATATGTTTCCATTGCAAAGTTTCTTTTATTATAACTGGAAAAGTTTTATTCTCATTCACAATCGTTAAAAATCATAAAGTATTAATGTAAACTATATTAACTCTAAACCTAGAAAATTTATATAACTAGACAACATTCCATTTTTAAAGCTTTACTGAGTAAAATTGATACCCAAAAATTGCACATATATATTGTATAATGTGTTTGTACATATGCATATATACATATATTCATGATACCATCATCACAATCAAGGTAGTAAGCATATTCATCACCTCCAAAAATTGCCTTGTATTCTTTTTCATTTGTTTTGTGGCACAATACCATGCTAACTATAGGCACCACAGTGTACAGCAGGCCTTAGGACTAACTCATTTTTCTTAACTGAAACTTTACACCCATTGGGCAACAATTCCTTCACATGATTTTGGCAATGACTTGGATTTTATACCAAAATCATAGGCAACAAAAGGAACAATAAACAAAGGGAATTATATCAACCTAAAAAGCTTCTGCACTGCACAGGAAACAATCAACCGAGTGAAAAGGCAGCCTACAGAATGGGAGAAAATATTTGCAAACCACGTATCTTATTAGGGGTTAATATCCAGAATATGTAAGAGTCTCTTACAACTTAATAACAAAAACATGCACAAATAAATCAATTTATAAATGGGCAAAGGATTAGAATACAGACACTTCTCCAAAGAAGGCATTCAAATGACCACCAGCTATGTGAGAAAATGCAGATAAAAAAGAAGAAAAGAAAGAAAGAAGGGGAGAGAGATATATTAGAGAAAATATAGAAACATTGGAAATTTTTTTAAAGGCAGCCATTCTACCTCTATAACTGAAGACTTTGTAAATTAAATCCACACATAACTTGGCAACTTTACTTATTCAAGCCAAGATGAGTGCATGCTAGTTATTGATCAGAGTTTCTAAATGCTTTGTTTAAGCTAAGTTTGAAAGATTGTGGAAAAATTATTTTTCAAATTAATTATACTTCAAGTCATGACGTTTTACCTAGTGCCTTTCTCTTGCTATGACTGTTTTTGGTTTTAGTTCTATATTGTTTGTGGCTACTGATACCAGGGACAATAAAGAAAATTGTTTCCGAGTTAATTTTTAGTCCTTCATTATTTAGTTGAGAGCTTTATCTTCTTTCCCTTTTTGACAAAGACAATGTGACATATTATTCCTGACCATTGAGCTAAATTAACATCTTTCATCCATTCTTGGAACTGGGTGGGGCCTTATGACTGAAGTCTAGCTAATGGGTTGAAATAAATGGTGGGCTTTCTGCTCTCTCCTCGTGATTCTGCACATTTTCCCTCCTGGCTGCAGAATATCTTTGCAGCCTCTGTTATAGATGACAGAACCATATCATGGAAAGAGCCATTTGCAATCTAGTCCACCCACTAAATGAACTGTGATATGAACTAGCAATTAATGTTACTGTTAAGCTGGAGAAATATTGGTTTTATCTATTACAGCAGCTAGCATTAATTACCTTTACTTTTAAGCTTTTGAATGGAGCTACTTATAAGCAGAAAACTCATGAAAATCCTTGTTTTCCCCTATTTTGGACTTGTGTGAGTAGTGAATTACCTAATAAATAAGCAACAGAGAAGAAATCTATTGAACTGTTTAAGTAATAGATAGTCAACTCTGTATAATCTCCTTGAGCCAACTCTTACTTTGTACTTATATCTCTCCGGGGGGCATAATTATCCCATTTGGTTAGGCTTAAATTTCAGAATATCTTTGACTTTTCCATCTCTCTCCAAAAATCCCTACATGCAATCTTTTATAAAACACCTTGATTCTACCTGTGTGCCTGACTCCTCCCTTTCTCCTTGTCAGTCACTTCTCACTCTTCATTGCAGTCAGCTTGTGTGCTAGCTACTGCTACATGCATCCACACTAGAGATTGTTTCATGAGTTTTCTGTTACCTCTGTTTGGAATGCTCTTCTCTATATTTATGAAAACAAAATCAACCTTATTTTGTAAAATGTATTAATAGGTATATTATACAGGGGAGGGCAGAAGTAGGTTTGTAGTTAGTTGTTTGTATGGCAATGCAGGCTATGATTGTTACAATAGCTTTACTAGCTCAAAAGAATATCACAATGGCCTAGTGCATTTAGATACAATCTTGTAAATGCTCAAGAAGAAGACAAATAATATAAATAAGTAAAGATAAACAATATTAAATAAATATATAATAGTACAACAATAAACTCAAGTTCTCACAACTATAAACCTACCTTTGCCTACCCCTCTGTATGTGTGTGTGTGTGTGTGTGTGTGTGTGTGTGCCTGTGTGTGTATAAAATGATATAATAGGTAAAATTAGTAATTTAAAACAAATCTTGTAGATTTCACAAAAAGGATTTTATTTATAGATATGATCACCCTGAAATCCCAGAAAAGCATATGCATTTACGATCTCAAGTTTACATTTTGGTGTAGATTTATAAAATTTTGGCTGTCTGGTTAATTATGCTGAAAATATGACAGTTTTATTAACTCCAAGGAGGCATTCTAATTGTCTGTTATAGTTCAGTTCTCTATGAGCCAGAAGAAATACAGCCAGCAATGTTAGACACATTAATGGTATTTAAAAAAATTTATTTCAGAATTCTTTTTTAATGTACACAAAACTGAGTTAGATCATAATATAGTTCTTCTCTGAGCAAAATCTCTGTTTTGCATTTTATAACAATAAATATGAAATATTACTAAAGAGAAGCATTTATCAAGCTGTGCTACATGAAAATATTATTTTTTTAGGCTATGTTAATGTTATTTGCACCACAGATTAAAAATGATGGACATCTTTAATACTGTCAACAATAAAATCAACTTTTTAAAAAGGAGATTCCAAGGTCAAATAATTTTGAAAAGTATTGCAAACCAATTGTCTTCTTGAAGTTTCAGAGTTTACATTACCATATAAAGTTTCTGAACTTTTTTTACCAGAAAAAAATTCAACATTGCTTAATCAATTTATTTCCTAAACTTATTTGAACATAGAAGCTGCCTTCTCCCATTTTTATTTCTCAAGTGCATAGCATTCTCAGTTCTGTGATAGTGCTCATTTAGAACATGGAAATGTGCTCCAAAGGTGACTGGTATATCGGGGAACATTTTGAGTGTTACACAGATTTTGTGTTTGTTTCTGCACTGTTTCCTTCAGGAGAAGCAATGAGGAAAACCACACCCAGCTAGACCGAGACACACACGGCCCACAAAATATACACACACCAAACGTTTCCATCTACCTCAGCTCACTACATATGTTCTGAAGCACAACCCTCCCTGCCTGTGGCAACCTCTCCTGAAAGTTCAGATAATCCTCCCTTTACCACTTCATAAGAACTCTAACCCTCTAAAACTCACTTCCTCAAGCAAACTGTATGCATGTCTTTTTCTAGGTCAAGTGCCATGATTATTGTAGGTTTACATATTTTTAACTAGTAAGTAGTATAAAATTGTTCTACTGTTTTGTTTTTTTAAATTAGGTTCCTATCTTTCTTTTTTTATCATGTCACCGATGACATTTATGGAAGCTGTGTTTCTAACCCCAGTTTTTACTGTAAGCCCTATTTGTATCAGATGACCTTTGCATAGCACACTGATTTTCAAAATATACATGTCACACTAGCAGAGCAACATGGTTTGGAATATACAGTTTGGGAAACATTCATATAACGCAAATTATTCTGACTACAAAATCCTTACTTAAATACAAAGAGCCAAGGAAAGGGAGTTCTGCCTCTCTTTGAGCCAGTTTTATTTACTTATTTTTCATTTAATTTAGTTCACACTATGTATACCCTCTTTGCCCTCCTCTATCTGCACTCCACCCCGCTGCCCCCAGTTGTAAATGATAAGCAGCCTCACTCTGGAGTCTGCTTTGCAGCGGTGATGACAACTGAATGCAGGAAACCCAGGGGAAGTAAAATCTCAGCAAATTATTGTCCAAGAAATTGGATCATTTACCTCTTCCTACCTGCTCCTTCTCTTTCTTAGGGAGTTTGGTTTCATACTGTTAAAAAGATGTCTATGTACCTACTAATAAATTGCCCATCTATCTTTTACACTTTGGACTATATAGAAAAGTGAACCAAAGTACAAAAACAGATTATGTAAACATTTTAAGTGCCAACTTAGAGGTGATGGAAAGCTGAAAAGAGCAGTCTGCCTTATAATAACTGTTGTATCCAACAAATCTTATTAAAAATGGGGATTTAAAAATTGAGGATTTGTCCAGCCCAGCGTGGCTCCGTGGTTGAACCAAGAAATCACTGGTTTGTTTCTTAGTCAGGGGTTTATGGGCTTGATCCCCAGTAGGGGGCATGTAGGAGGCAACCAATCTATGTTTCACTATCATCAATGTTTCTATCTATCCCTCTTCCTTCCTTTTTCCTAAAATAAAT